AAATCAGGATAGAGAAAGGAATTAATGCAGCTCAACAATATTCAGTAAAGTGAATGCAATTCCTGTCAAAAAATGTAATATTCCAAAATCATTTAGTGTGATTGGCAGCAACAAATATAGCAAAATGGATTTCTATTTCAAGATGCAGTTGGTTCTTTTCCAAGAGCTCAGGTTCATGGTGTTCCTCCCGTGCACCAGATGTCTGCCCCCAGGCTTTGAAACACCTAACAGCCCACATAGGGGAGCCACTGGCTTCCCACCGCCTTGTACCCACGGCCTTGCACAGAAGAGATCACAAAAGGAAAGAATTCCCAAAATCTGCTGTGTATTAAATCATTTAACTGCAGGTCAAATAGTGAGACATACATAGGTACACTAAAATACTTTGGAAATGAAAACTACAACCAACGCTAAGAAATAAGTAAAAGTGAGTTTATTTTTTAAAAAGTAAGAGAGGGGATTTTATTTTGTGGGTGGACACCAAAAGAGAAATGAGAGAACTGTGTTACTTTACTGCTAATATATTATGCATTAGTACAGTAAACATTCCCTTTTCTACACCTAGAATGTAATGTGTTTGGATAACTGCTGGTCAGGTTATGAAGCTCTGAAGAAAGAGGAACATCTCAGAATGAAAGACCTTTCCTTCCCAGAGCTTTAATGATAGCACCATATTTATTACAGGAAGCCCCTACAAAAGACATAGAAGGCTTAGCACTTTTGTCTTATACAGGATTCAAATAAAATATCCCTACCACATATGTATGTATGTATAGAAAAATAATATTTTCAAAAAAAAAAGAAAAATAATATTTTCAAGTATGACAGCATGGCATGGTGGTGCAGAGCACAGGTTCCACATTTAAACTGTAAGTCTGAATTCTAGCTCTATTTTTTTTAAGATTTTATTTTTTATTATTTATTTGTCAGAGAGAGAGAGAGAGAGGGAGAGAGAGAAAGAACAAGCACAAGCAGGGGGAGTGGCAGGCAAATGGAGAAGCAAGCCCCCCGCTGAGCAGGGAGCCCAATGTGGGACTCGATCCTGGGACCCTGAGATCATGACGTGAGCCGAAGGCAGACCCTTAACTAACTGAGCCATCCAGGCGTCCCTGAATTCTAGCTCTAAGAGTTAGTAGGTCTATAACCTGTGGCAAATTCTTTAACCTTTCCGGACTTCAGTTTCCTTAATGGTAAAACAGAGGCAATAATTATGACTACTGTATAGGTTCGTTCTGAGGGTTAATTCAGCTAAAACAAAGTGTTTGGAACAATGTCCAGTATCTAGTAAGTGCTTAATAAATGTGAGCCTTTATTACTTTATGTTAATTTTCTCATTTAATTCTTATGACACACCTGTGAAGTAGATATTATTACTCTCAACCCACGGGTGAGGAGAGTTAAGTAATTTGCCCAAAGTCACACAGAGGTAAAACAGGACTTGACAATGGATCTGTCCAGGTCCAAGATTATGCTCATACTTCTACCTAATACTTCCCATGTTACCTACAGGTCCTGCTCTTATATCATCATAACATTTATCAAGATGCATTTAAATTGCCTTTTAACTGATTTTTTTCACCCTAGAATAAACTCTTGTGAGGACAGAGACTGGGTCCTGTTCATTCATTTCAGTCCATTAGTCCCCACTGCCCACTAACCCACATTTCAGAGCTTTTGTGCCAGGCATTGTTAGGTACTGGCATATCACACTGAGTAGAACCCACGGGTCCCTGTGCTGGTGGAACTCAAAATCTACCCCCAAAGACTGATAACCTAAGCACATAGAATTATAAACTGGTATAGTTATAAAGAAGGAAATAGAAAAGGGTGTTAGAAAAGATCTTAAAAGATGAAACTCATTTAGTGGGGCAAAATCCAAAAAGGCCTTTCTGAAGGGACACATAAACTGATGAGAAGACTTAGTAGGAGCTAGCAAGGCAAAGAAATGGGGATACAAACCACTTGTGCATAGGACCCTAAGAAAAGACTTCTTCATTTGATGTGTGAGGAAGGGAAAGCTAGTAAGGCCAGAAAGGTACCGGTCTAGCTGACAAATGGTGAGCTCAGGGCAGAGATGAGATATGATGAGAAGAGAGAGATGACAGACCAGAACACACAGGACTATCAGGAACTGGAGAGTTTATCCTTGGTACGATGGGAATTCCACTTGGTTTTTAGAAAGGTCATGCTAGCTGCAATGTGGAGACTAAATTGAAAAAAGACAGGAGAAGAATCTGGGAAATCCACTGAGATGCTCAACAGCAGATGAGGGGCCCTGTGATGGCAGTCTGGGACCAGAAGGGAAGAAGTGGGGGTAGGAAAAAGTGTACAGGTCCAACGTGTATTGACCTCCCACCCCTAACATGCTGCCTGACAAGAAGAGGGATTCAGTATTGTGGACTGACTGACTGAGTGATTTCTCAGGCAGGGCGGCTGCTGGTTCTAAGGCATCCACTAACCCACAGACACATGACCTCCCCCTGAGCAGTATCACCATCTAGTGGAAGTGAGAGACACAGGAAGATATTGAAGAAATGATGTTTACATTGATAATCCAACTGGCAAGACTCCACCTGTGAAAACCTCTTAATGTGTAAATGTATCTTTGTGAAACAAAATGTCTCTCCCATTCTGACAATGGAAAATTTAAGAAGCCAGATATCTTTCTGCTATATGACTTTCCAAGCTTGTTAGAGAAATGTATTATTTAAAATAGCCCAGAGCTATGCTGCTAGAAACACAGTAAAACACTAAGGGTGCTGAAAGAAAGTCCTCTCATTAAAAAAAAAAAAAAAAAAAGCTGTAGTTAGAAAGACAGTCTATACTCATTATTCTATGTTCTTTCTTATAAAAGGGGTCTGTCATTACTTCCTAAAATGGCAAAATATTCTGATTATCTATTAGCAACAAATTCAAATTCAGAGTCAATATTTTTCCTTAGAATGTGCTAAATTGGGTGCCTGGGTGGCTCAGTCAGTTAAGCGTCTGCCTTTGGCTCAGGTCACGATCCCAGGGTCTTCGGATGGAGCCCTCCATCGGGCTCCCCACTCCGCGGGAAGCCTGCTTCTCCCTCTCCCACTCCCCCTGCTTGTGTTCCCTCGCTCGCTGTGTCTCTGTCAAATAAATAAACAAGATCTTAAAAAAAAAATAAAAAAGAATCTGCTAAATTCACAAAGTCAGGACAGTGAATGTCTCCCCCATGTTATTTAAAAATTTTGACCTTTTGTCCATAAGACATTTATTTTGCTAAAATTATAAAACTAAAGCCATCTGAAAAAGCTTGTCCACGTGGTTATGACAAGAGAATCTATGACTATAGTCAAATGAATTCAAAATCTAATAAATAATCCCATCACTCCTGAAAATGTTTTCCCATCCTTAAGTTGGCCAAGATGTTCATTAATAATAGGGTAATGAAGGTGTAGTCGGGCTTACTTACATCAGATGCTCTTTTGCTGAGACGAAGTTAAACCTAACATACCTGTCAATTTCTCAATAATTAAAAGCTTTAGTTATTATTAACTTAGTTAAAACAGTATCTCGCCTAGGCTAGGGTGATAAGCTCAAGTATCTGTGGGCACAAATAAAGCTTAATTTTGCATAGGCACAGAATGCTCAACATCAAGAGTCTGCTCCAAGGTTAAGCCGAGCGTCCTACACAGCTTTGATCAGAAGGCCAACTACCAGTGCCCCTGCCGCAGCTTCTAAAGACTCTCAGAGCACAGGTGGTAGAGATCAGAAGAAAAGGCACCGCACTGGATTTCTATATAAGGAACTTAATAAGTTTAAAAATAAAATACAGTTTGCCTCCTTCCATTTGGTAGGAAACAACTTTCTCCTACATTGGAAATAAGGCTTTATGTGGTATTCTCTGTACCTTCAGAATGCCTTCAGGGTCTTGAAAATGCTTTTTCTGCAGAACCAGGGAAAGATACATAAGAGCATCAAATAGTGTTTTGGTGCCGTTACTGTAAGAACTGGTTTAAAGAATTATGGTAACCATGGCAGATGATAACAGAAAATCTTGGAAGTTTACTGAGGTTTAAGGTTCAATAAAATGAAGGTCTATATTGTTCCATCTGTCCTTTCTCACTCAAGAAAACAAGATTGTATATTATCATCTAAAATTTGTATTTTTCCAGCATACACACAAATCACTAATAATGCACAAAACAAAGACAAATGAATAACCTCAAATTTATGTTTTTCTCATTTTATTAAGAAAGCTCTTCCTTCCTCTCAGTTACCAATGTAACTAGTACAAAATTACCTTTAATAGAAAAGTCATTTATTCCAGCTGGAAAATAAAAGACTAAGATTAGGCCCTGGACAGCTATTAATGACAAAGAAAAATTAGAAAATAGCATACCTTAAATCTAATGTTTTATTAAAAGTGCAAATGTATTAATGAAATCTTAGGCAATATTCCATTTTATCTGAACGCATAAATAAAATGTTATTTTCATTCTCACAATCATCTCAGATAACAGACAGCCCAACTGAGTTAAAGTTGTATATTCTCATTTTTGCTAAACAATCTGTTCATAGCAAGGCTATTTAAAACAAATATATTCCAAGCCATTCATACGTCAACCGATATTTCTAAACTAAAGCAAATAACTTTAAAATGAGGTATTTCGATCAATTTTAATCCAAATATGGTTTTCAATAGCAGAGAGTACAAAATTACCCCTCATTTGAATGAAAATCTCACACTTCGGGATTATTTGTTTCTGCATGTTATAGCCTGTTTATTGTGAAATCCACAATCCTTTGATATTTTCTTAAACAGATGAAATTTGTCTTCTTTCCTTAGGGAAATGCCAGACTATAATGATATCTGAGAAATACGATTAAATTAGTTTAATTACTTCATGTCAACTTGATAAGTCACTGCTCTTTAATGCAAAACCTGCCACTTATAATTAATGACTGTCCATACTGTTTCAATTGATTAAATGTCTAATACACATAAAACATTGAAAGAAGTTCTGTATATCTTACAGCAATTCGGTGGAGAAGTCTTGTCCCAGGGGTATGTAAATCTGAAGTACAAGAAACCTCTGGATCAGTCCAACTAGAATGAGAGGGGGAAAATATACATTCATATGTTCAAACCATTTATATGTGCATATAAACCAACACAATCACACACCATCAACAACCTGAAGCTTTTAGCGTTTCAGTAATATAGTACAACTGTAATAGCACTGCCCATAAGTTACAACTTCATTATAAAAGCAAAAAAGTTGATGAAAATCAAATCAAACTCTAACAACAAATGTTGCCTTTTAAAGTCCCATCTGTGGGCTTGGTGAAATTTTTATGAAAATTTAAAAAAATAATTTTTTACTTACTATTTTTATTAGGTTGCGAGAGAATGTACACATAGGACAGCATTCAATAGAAACCTATAAAATTGAACTACAGATTCCCATCAAGGCAGCCATAAAAGCATGTGGCAATTATTTTTATCCACTGACAGTTTTAACTGAACTAAACAACTTAATAAAAAACAATAGATCAAGAAAAACAATTCTAATTATGACAACTACAGCTGAAGGTTTGATGAGCCATATCTAGCTCATGATTTTAAATGTGTCCACAGTGAGATGGATGGAGGAATATATTTTCATTTATAATGCCTTTTGTTAATTTAACATACTTTTAATTAATTCAGTGCTCACAAACTGCAAACTGCTTTCATTCCCCATCACCAGCTTCATCTGAATTAAAAATATCTGAAGAAAAACCAACCCCTATGGCACTTTTGATAGCTGAAGTCTACAACTGTTTCGAAAATCAATTGATTTTATATTATCTCTTCAGACCCATTCACTTAATTCCTTTTCTCTTAGGTTTTGAACTTTTGCTGGATCTCTCAATTATGATGCTCCTAATGGATGTTTTAGAACCACTTCCTCCTAAAACATGCGTTTTAGGAACTTATTTCCTCATGTGGGACTTCTGTAGGAAATGGAAATGTTCTGACTTATCTGTGAACCTCTCCTACAAATCTTACAGTACAGGGCAACAGGAGAGGATAAAAGAAGGCTACTGGTCTAAAATGCATATTATTTTCTATTTATTCCAACTCAGTAGACTTAACAAATTTAAGTATTTCAAAGTAACAATATGTGTATGTTTGTTTGTTTGTTGTGTGTGTGTGTGTTTTAACAACACATGTTTGGGTAATCTACATGTATGTTCTGGTTTATAATTCCTTTGGTAAACTGTTTTGCAACATTCCTGAACAACTTAAATAGTTCCTACATTTTACCCAAAATTTAGTTTCTACAAAATAAACATATTTGGTCAAGTCTGCTTAATATCTTTTAAGTCAAACATACAATGATAACTTTTACTTATAATGCTAAGCTTACAAACTGTTCCAGAGAGCCATCCATAGAGTAGTAATATAAGGGAAATAGGGGATAACAGGTTCTGACCTTTGAAAATTCTCTAGGGGGTGCCTGGGTGGCTCAGTTGGTTGGGCGACTGCCTTTGGCTCAGGTCATGATCCTGGAGTCCCGGGGTCGGGTCCCGCATCGGGCTCCCTGCTCGGCAGGGAGTCTGCTTCTCCCTCTGACCTTCCTCCCTCTCATGCGCTCTCTCTACCATTCTCTCTCTCTCTCAATAAATAAATAAAAATCTTTAAGAAAAAAAAGAAAAAAAATTCTCTAGGAACTGGATTTTACCATATTTATGGGAAAAGCCAATGAGGCAACCCTGAGTTCTGGACTACAAAACTAAAGTGAGATACCAAAATGAGGCCAACTTCAATAAATCATCATTAATTTCTCTCCTGCATCTTCCATTGATTGACCCTATGGCGTTTTTCCATTGCACAATGGCCTCTGTATATAGAGCTGAGACAGGACCTGGATAAATGAAATCAGTCTTTACAAAGGTCCCTAAGTTGTGTCACCAATCTCACTGAATCAGCACAATTTTCTTCAAAAACAATGAGCTACACTACACATACAGGGCATTTTCCTATGAACATTTTTAGATATGAAAGACACTTGCCCTCAAAAAAAGAAAGTAATTTGTAATTCAACTTTCTCACATACAGAAGCCCTAGTTTCCAAAAGGCTTCACTTCTAAGATTAAAAGAAGTATGACAATACCATATGGTGATGATCTGACAAAGAAAAATGTACTTTAAACATTTGACATACACTGATCCTGTGTGTCAGAAATGCTAAATAAACTGTATAGTAGTATTTTTTCCAGTGGCCTAGTAAATTTAAACTGACTCTTCATGTCTACATTATATTGAAAATCACTAAGTAATGCTGAATGTGAACTACTATTAGTCAAAGAATGCCCATCAAGTATATAAAATTCATAAAAATTTAGTCTTTTTACTGAAAAATGCAGGTTTCTGCAGTTTCATAATCCGTTCTCTGCTGAGATAAACTACCTCTATTTTTAAGGGGTCAAGTCCTTTTTTCCTTTGAATCTTTTAAAGCGCATTTAACTGGTAAAACACCATCAGGTTTTTAGAGTGGTTTTATACTTGTTTCATTACAGCCAGTGACAGCTGTACACCAACATACACCACATGTACATCTCACAAGTGTTTGTTTCATCGTCCACGAGTTTGGGATGAGGGCACAACACAGTCATCCTTTACAGGTGCCCTGCCAAGTCTGAAGTGCGGTGACTGAAGCTACTTCCTGCTTCCTAGCGCAGTCCTGGCACGAACAGCACACTGAAGTGCACCTCTCCCACTTCAACCCAGAAGACAGGAAACAGGTATGCCTCTATTCTGGATCATTCCATATTCCTCGGGCAAATCAGAAGATCTCTCTGGGCTCTTTTCCTTTCATGTGTAAAACTGGGCTGGGCAAATTAGATATATACCTCATAGGATTATTTGTATGAATTAAATTAGATCTATCATTCAAAAAAAGACTTATTGAGCATCTACTACATGCCAGACTCGATGCAGATGTTTTTGTAGTGAATAAGACAGACACTGTCTCTGCTCTCTTGGAACCGATATTCTAGTTTCAGGAAGGAGAAGGTCAGGGTGCAATGAAAGTGTATAATCCTCGGTCACTGGAGGGAAGATGAGTGAGGGTTTTCTGGCAGAAATAACACTGGAATTCAGCTGGGAAGAAAGAGCAGGGGTTGAGTGGGCGAGGGAGATGAAGGAACAAATATCATAGGGAGAGGGAATACTCCATCATGTGATGAAAAAAGCCATGGTGGAGTGCATGAATCTAAAGACATAAAGGACTGGTAGGGAACACAGAAAGGGAAAAGCAGCAGGAGTGATTCTGGCAAATAGCTAGGATCTCAATCTTTCAGGGCTGTGAAGGCCATGTGAAGGATATAGCTCATCCTAAGATCAATGGGAATCCATTCATATATTCATTAATTTATTTCACAAAGATTTACTGAATGTCTACTGTGTGTCAGGCACTATACTAGGTGAACAAAATAGACTAAATTTCTGTGCTGGGGGTGCTTACCTCTGGCAACTGTGAGAAAAACAGTAAAAAAAACCCTCTAAGGAACAAATAGCACGTAAAATGGAGATAAGTACGTGGGAAAAAGTAGAGAAAGGTAAAAGGGATCAAGAGTGTGTAAGGGCTATAAATTACAGGGCAGAGTGGGCTGTCATTGAGAAGACATTGTAGTAAAGGCCTACAGAAGAGATGGTGAGCCACGCAGCTATTTGGGAAAAGACAGCTCTAGGCAGAGGGTTACCAGCTTGTGCAGAGGTGTGAAGGTGAAAGGGCACCAGGCTACGTTTGAAAACAGCAAGGAGACCTGTATGGCTGCAACAGAGTGAACAACAGCAAGAGTAACAGGAGATAAGGTCAGAATTAAGAGGGTACCAGATACCATAGAGTCCCACAGATCTTTGGTTTTCACTCAGAGATGAGACATTTTCAGTAGTGGAGAGCCTTACATTTGCAAGTATTGCTCTAGCTGTGAAACTGACAACAAACCGTAGGGAAGCAAGTAAAAAAAAACAGGTGGGCCAATGAGAAAACGAATGCATGAGATGTTCCAAGCATGAGATGTAGTGGCACTGGCGGTGACAGAAAGTCGTAGTCAGACTCGAAGTCTAACCTGAAGATAGAACCAACAAAATCTTCCTGATGGACTGAATGAGGAGAAAAAAAATCTGCCTGATTGAAGTTTTTTGTCAGAGCTACTGGAAAAGACAGGTTGCTAACAACGGAGATATGGCAATCTGTAGCAGCAGGAGTGGTTTGTAGGGTAAAGCTGTCCAGATAGAAATGTCATCTAAGCAACTGAAAATACAAGTCTGGAGTTTGAGAGAGAAGTCTGATTTGGAAATACATTTAAGCTGGAGTAAGAAGAGATGGTATTTACATCTATGAGTCAAGCACCGATAATCAAAGGAGTAAATACAGGTAGAGAGTGTCAAGGGTCAGGTCTGTAGGCATTGCAATATGAAGCTGGGCTGGGGAGAGAAAGAACCATGAAAGGAAACTAAGAAGGAAGACCAGTGAAGTGGAAAGAAAACTCGGACGATGGGCATCCAAGGAGGATGGTGTCAACTTGTTAAATGTTGCTGATATGTCAAGCACGATGAGGGCTGCGAATGAGCCACTGGATTCAGGAATACAGAGATGACTAGTGACCCTGACAAGAACACTACCAATAGAGTGGTGAGGTCAAGATCGTTGAAGGGTTTTAAACAAAGCAAGTCATAATGACATTTATTTTAAGAATACCAAAGTGGGAGTGGGAGTGGGTTGGGGGGGGTGGGCCTCATAAAGATGACCTCATCTTCATCCTCCAGAGCAGCCGAAACTTAGAGAAACACAAGGCTTCAGGAATGCTGATCCCAAGAGACACACCTTAAGATTCAGATGCCCCTGGCAGAGAAAACAATGGATTCAAGTAAGAGCCTCAAAAAGATTAAGCCCTGGGGCGGACCATCCAAACGACAGATGTTTGTGTGTGACACTGCTTCATCTCATATGGGCAGCTCCACAGCATGATCCAGGATGAAGAGCAGCATGGATTTATTTGTTTAGTTGGCTAATCATTTACTTAATCTGCTTATGAGGGCGAACTGGTTACAACTAGAAATTATAACCCCAATTGTGATAGTTTCTTAATGTGGCAAAGGTAACAAATTTATTAAACACCAACTACATACAATATACCAAGTTAGAGGAACAGAGTGGATGGTGCAAGATTCCTGCACTGGAGAAGTGCACGATCTGATCATCAATATCACGCTTTCCTCTATTTGATAAGATGTTATGTAAAAAACAAACAAAACTCTGACATTTAGAGATGCTCAAATATAATTCAGAAATATCACCATTTAAAATGAAAAGTTAAACATACTTACTTTCATCATTAAGCTTTTTTCCTAACTACCTAACATAGTGGGAAATACATATGGGGTACCTAATGTCAAGTTTGCATAAATAAAGTGGATGTTTACTCTTAAAATAGGAATACCTAATGGTAACTGAACTAAATTTAGAAATGTTAATGGAAAACCAATTCTCTACTCAAGACATGCCATTTAATTTAACAACTTCACACAGAAGGTCGTTTTACACAAGTGAAAATAGCTATAAAGTTCTGTTATCAAAAATTACAAATAATTGGGGCGCCTGGGTGGCTCAGTCGTTAAGCGTCTGCCTTCGGCTCAGGCCATGATCCCAGGGTCCTGGGATTGAGCCCCGCATCGGGCTCCCTGCTCTGCGGGAAGCCTGCTTCTCCCTCTCCCACTCCCCCTGCTTGTGTTCCCTCTCTCGCTATCTCTCTCTGTCAAATAAATAAATAAAATCTTTAAAAAAAAAAAAATTACAAATAATTAATCTTAAAGGTTAGTACAGGGCAGACTCTATAAACTGTTTCATTTGTTACAGCACCACATATGCTACCGAAGAGCCAGATTAATTTTTAATTATAGGGCATTGTACAAGAAATACATTAGAAGATTCTTCCATTTCTTCCAATTAAAACTATCATTTTTCCTTTTACAAAGCAATTACAACACATTAAACTTGTTTTATTTCTAAAAAAAAATCTTAGATAAATGTAGGAAAAGGGTGCTTGTCTTTAGTCACTTAGCCTTTGATAGAGGGGAAATCTTTCTCAGATCCAACTGAGAGAGGTTACCAGAACTGATTTGATTTTATCAGTAACATGATTATGTGTATAGATGCTAAGGGCATTGCATAGAAGGATAGGCCAACCAGAGAACACTGGTTTAGAACAAAGGCACATTCCCGCAAATCAGATGTATCCATCTCACAAAGTCAATACCCTTAAAAACAGATGGACCATGTCTCCTGCAACAAGAATAACCTACAATTTCAGACATATTTCTCTGGCTCATCTTAGTTCACCTCATTTATAAGTATATAAATTTTTGTGGAAATGAAAAAAAAAACTCTACTGTTTAAAAGGAACTATGAGGAAATCATGACTTTTAAAGTGGTAGTAAATTAATAAAAATGATTTCAACAAAGATTACTCCTTCTCTTTGAGGTTCTGTTTTATTTTAGAAAGAAACACTGGCAAACTATTTTAAAATAATCATCTTCCATCTATAATTTCTATGGCTCATTTTACATCTTAGAAATCTAAATATGCATGCAGTAGTGTGAAGTGGTAGATAAAGCAGAGCCTGTGAAAGTTTAGAAAACCGAATTAAAACGAGAAAATCAATTAGCAAGAACAGGTCTTTTCATAGCACCTGGTACACAGTAGGTGTTCAATAAATGTTCTTAATTAATAAAGGAAGAAATAAGGAAATGATCAACATAAAAAATAACTGGCTGCTTACATTTAATAAATCACCTGAAATCTATAGTTAATACATAGGATAAAGTTGATGAAAATCAGATGAATTATTTTGAAAAATTATATATCTTAAATTGCCATCAATTTACTCAAAGCCTAATTTGGTGGCAGAGCCTTGAATCTTAACCTCAGTTCTGCCAATAACTGGGCTTCTGATTGTAAATTCAGGTGATTTTTCAAGGTTCCTTCTGCTTTAAAATAATGTTCCTAATTTCCAAAGTAAGAAAGAAATGAAAATCTACTCTTTCGGTTTTTGTTGAAACACATATTTGTATTTGTATTTATACATATTAGATATTAATATTCTTGAAGGTATACAAGTTGATGTGTCACTAAGTAATGCCTTCCATGGTATTTCACACAACTTTTTTCTCACAGATTTTTTCTATCATTTAGGAAGTCCTGAGTTTATTTCAAAGCTTACCCTTAATTTTCTGATTTCTTGATGAGAAACCAATCTCAGTGTGTTTATTGTAAAAGAACTACTATCAGGATTAAAAGAGTTAATAAATGTGAAATGCTAGGGAAGTCACAGGCACACAGTAATTAATAAATACTGTTACTATGATAATCAATGGCTACCAAATAATTTTCTAAATCTTCTTAAAAATACTTCTAGCTGTGCCTGGGTGGCTTAGTCAGTTAAGCGTCCAACTCTTGATTTCGACTCGGGTCATGGTCCCAGGGTTGTGGGATCGAGTCCCACATGGGACTCTGCACTCTCAGTGCAGAGTCGGCTTGGGATTCTCTCTCTCGCTCTCCCTTTGCCCCTGCTTGCTTGTGTGCTCTCATTCTCTCTCTAAATAAATAAATAAATAAAATCTAAAAAAAAAATACTTCTAGATTATGAATCAACAGTGAAGCAAAATACATATATATATAACTTAATATATATTTATATAATATTTATATATACATGAAGCCTGGCATAAGGTTAATTTCTAGATTAAAAACAGACCTATCACTTTAAGTTAACAGATGCCAGTAAAAGCCAAACTAATGCCTGTGTGCTAGACTTAAAAGTGTAACTTTAAAAATCAAATGTTAAGCTTTAATATCAAAAATCTTACTTACGGATTTGCTTATTCTCCTTTGGTAATTGAATTTTGTTTGTTTGGCTGCTGCCTTCCAGGACAAACACAAAACTTTTAACTTCTTTATCAAACTCCTATAGAACAAAAATAAAAACAGTGGTAATTGGAGCATATTTTATTTGGCTTCTATCATAAAATTGGAGCTGCAAACCCATAGGGGGAAAAGTCCCAGATTCAAATGACTTAAAAGTTAGGCCTTGATGATACTCTTACCCTGAAAACTGCTGGGAACTGGATACAGAAGCCCCACTATATCACTTGATAAATCCTCTATCATATCAAGAGACTCTTCCTCCAAATGATAAGAAATTCCCTAGTTTCAGGGATTCCTAAGTTACTAATTTAGAGTTTCCAGAATTTAGTTACCCTTCCTTCCTTTAATCAACATATTCCTGTCTAACAGCACAGGCTGAACATCACTCCATGTTACCATATACAAAATTACCTAACCTATGTTGTATCTAGTCCACAAGTTCCTGGGTGTCTGGCCATGGCTCATACGAAATTAATCATTGCCTTATTTTACTAGTGCTCTAACCTGAAGTTCTATATGTCATCTACTGAAAATCGGTACTAATTAAAGTGTTACAATTAAGGTGACCTTTTTAAAAAACTATGGTAGGAGAGGGACGCCTGGGTGGCTCAAGTCAGTTAAGCATCTGCCTTGGGCTCAGGTCAACATCCCAGGGTCCTGGGATCAAGCCCCGCATTGGGCTCCCTGCTGAGCGGGCAGCCTGCTTCTCCCTCTCCCTCTGCTGCTCCCCCTGCTTGTGCTCTCTCTCCCCCTGTCAAATAAATAAATAAAATCTTAAAAAAAACAAAAAACAAAAAACTATGGTAGGAGAAACGTAAACAGAACAAAACCAAACCTGAAAATAAAAAACCTCCTTAAACGTGACAGTCCGATTTCCATGACTCAAAGTGGTAATGTAAATGGTTATTTTTTCATTTTGAAGCAAATTCCCAACCTGAGTATAAAGACCCATTATAATATTTCACAGATCTTCCCAATCCTCCTCTCTGTATATGTTAAGAAATGCATTGTAACTAAGGCTGCTGAGCATTAAATAACATTTAAATAAATCTGATTATATCCATCACAACAGCATCTCTCATGTATTTGAAATGAACACACATAGACTGACTATATCATTCCATCTATACACAAGTTGGGCATATACTTAAAACCTTTCAACAGCTTACCCAAATCATCAACACGGTCCATAAACCCCCACCTAGTCTAGTTGCTGCCTGGTTTTGCAAACTTCAATCTCCTACCTTGCACTCTTTCTTTTCTCTGTATTCTGACCTTAGTAGCCTTCTTGCAATTTCTTAAAAATTCTAAGCTCTCTCCTGCACAAGGAATTTGTATGTGTTTTTCCCTTTGCCTGAAACACTCTTGTCTCCACCAGGCCCACACAGTGCATAGTTAGCTCTTAGAGATCCAATGTCATTTCCTTGGGGAAGCCTTAATTACGCTCCCTGCTCTATACCCTCCACATCATTGATCTCTCATTCACAGGAAGAGCTGTATAATTTTAAGCAAGTTGTTTACTCTCTCCATGACCTCAGTTTTAGCATCCAGAAAATTGGCATAAAGTACCTATCACACAAGGCTACTGTATAAATATATGTAATGTGCTAAAGCTGGGCTTGGCAAACAGTAAGCACTCAGTTAACAGTAGCTTTAAAAAGTTACCCACAACGTCCACAGAAAGACGTTTTCCTCCCAGTTGAATAGGAGAGGAGTGAAAGAGAAAGCGATAGGGATGGATATAGGTTTCTAGGTCTGGTGGCAGCAGGCTGAGGTAGTTTCTATTTGATGGCATCAATTTTCCCTGTGAAATGGGGCATGAGGTCTTCCAGTGAGTCGGTAAAGAGGGCCTGTACTTGTGGATTGGGGAGGGGGGGTAGAGAGTTGGGGGTTGAAAACTTGAAGATAATGGAGAAATAATCATTTGAGAGACTAAGAGAACATACAAGGAGAACTTTCCAGGTTGTTCAGGTTGAATTTATAGTATTATTAATCTGAGAGGCTACTGATTTTTTTTTTTCCAAAGTTACTGAGGGGCCCAGAACTCCGCTCAGAAAAGAGAGATGACTGGGGATTCAGACACGGTTGGCCTCTGCAAGGCCAGCATGATGAAAGGACAAAGAGCAAGGGCATTCAAGGTTTTGCCTGGGAAGTGACTGAAATCACAGACTCTGGATTCTGGGCTGGAGAGGAAAGGAAGCGAAGACAGAGAAAATACATGCCTAAATAAAACTAAGCACAGGGGAAGTAGAAAGGCCAATGGCCTCAAGGTCTCAATTAGGTTGAAGAACAAATACAGTGAGACTAAGTGAGCAAGTAGCCTTAAGAACTGAAGCTTGGGGTCAGAGAGAGATGTCTCAAGGTGTGTCTCAGTCATTTCAGAGGCCCTGCAGTTTACCGTGATAAGGTACAGGGTGTGACAGTGGGAACGGGGACTGACAAAGAGTGGAAGGGTTAGTGATGAAGAAATCAAGAAATGAGCAGCTCAGGGTTTGGAGAGTTTCCTCACAAACACTGAAGTCACCTAAAACAAAAGCAGGACTTGGCCTACAGAGAAGGGTTATGAGCTGAGTGCCAAAGTCTTGAAAGGCCTGAGGAGTGGTTTCTGGGAGAGCTGCAGCCAACAGGGTCATGAAAGGGTTTTTGAATGAACAGTAAAAACAGTTCTGAAACCTTATCAAACCCTTTTTCTTATAACCTTCATTTTCCTTTCTTTCCAGGATTTAGGTGGCTCTAACTTCAAACACTTACTTTCCAAATCACAGACGGACTGCCAAGGATCTTCCATTTTGCTCCAGGATTTTTGCCCTGAGCACTAAAGATTTCAACAAATGCACCTCCCTGGAAAATAAAAACAACGTGTTTAAATTAAAGTGAAAGACAATGCTAAACAGGAAATACTATCCACCACACAGCCTATAACCACTGTTCCAGGCATCTGTCCATTAAATAGATCTGGGAGGAAACATTACCCCTGTTATTAAATCCTACAGTATACCTTGATTGTACTTAAGCCACAACCACTCTGATTTGGGTCATCCTGGATAAATGGTTTAGGGAAATTTTTTTTTTTTTAAAGAATGATAAACATTAAATTGTGCCATACAAACTCTACAGTCTCTCGATGTAGGGTTCATTTACTTGCCATGTATAAATCATGCTTACAAAACATTCTATTCATCCCTGACTAAAGGGTTTAAACTCAACTTTAGAGCCAGGCTAACAAATTCTGGTAAGTTATCTGTGGCTATAAGCTTTCCAGTCATACTGACCCCACCTCCGATACCAGCTTTGACATTTATTAACTATCTGACCTTGAGAGTTATTTAACCTCTTGATTCTCCACCTGTAAAATGGGTTGTTGGATTACACAGGATAGTAAACATAAACCATCAAACACAATACCTTGTATGTAGCAAGGGCTCAACAGTGCCCGCAATGATTATTCAAAAAAAGGGCAAATTGAATATTTTGGTAATGGTTAATAAAAAAGCTTGGGAATGAGTGGGTGTTGGGGTTTGATTCTTATTCTGAGCATTCCCATCTTTTTATATATCTAATATAAATTGATATGGAAATCTATAAAATTTGTATAAGAAAAATAGAGAATCATTTGTATAGACATGCTCCGTGTTCCCTATTGTAAACCTGAGAACATGCAAGGCCATGCTTATATAAAAGTACTAAACACACTACTGAATACCCATAAGCTTTAATTATCAAAGAAAGGAATTAGGATGATTATCTCTGAGGAAGAGGTAATTGCAAGAAATTGAGAATCTGAAATGAAGACTAAATATGGTTTTCTTTTATGGTCTGTTTTAATTATAAGCAGCACATGAGCAAATCTGTCTGATTTTTGTAAAGAATTTCCAGCTTTTAAGTTTTCTCAATAATATAGAGATATTTTTGCTTCTGAGTTTTAAAACCATCACTTTAACTTAAGACACTAAATTTCTTCTTCCTTAGGCAGTATTATGTGCAAGCTGTGTGTGGTTAAGAATTACTATAAATTACTATAGCTTCTGGGGTTAGGTCACATATCAATAAAAATTTTAAATTTGAGGCAGTTTTGTTTTGTTTTTTTAAAGAGAAAGATCCTTGTACCTGGTGCAATACCCACCCCCTCTTCCTTCTGCTTTCTCCTGTTTTCCATTGTGGGCATATGCTTTTTTATAACAACATATTTTACCTAAATTGAGAGGAAAACTCTCTTAAATTGTTCTAACACATTTAATGATATCAAATGGGAGTAGAAGAAAGAGAACAGCAGACTACTTGAAGGACACTAGTAGGAAGGCAAGTAGCATTTGGTGAAAATGTAGAGGCAACAAAGAGGTAATCAATGGAGGGCTGGTCCAGCACAGGGACAATTGTAAACAGAGAATGTAACCTCAGGTAGAAGTAGGAGGGAAGGTCAGGAGACTAGGGTCAAAAAAAGCAGTGGGTCCAGTGGATTCAGGGGTCCAGTGAGGTGAGAAGAGCAAGCCATGTTTTGAAGACGCTAAGATACTCAAGGTGACAGAGGAAGACCCAGAAGCAGTTTCTCCACTGTGATCTTTGGACCATGTACATCAGAATCAACTGGGGCAAGTTTAGTTTTTACAGATGTTCTCATTCACTAGATGGGGGGTGAGGGTCAGGAAATCTGCATTTTCACAAGTACCCCAAGAGATCCTAACCTACCCCAGGTTAGAGAATCACTGACCCCAGTTTTAGGGAAAAAGAAAATAGCACGTGGCCAAATGCTTATTTTCTTTCTTGGTTTAACCCACTCATGCATTCACTCACTCACCCTATTCTAAGTAGCTTCTAAGACATCATTGTGCATCAGTAGTGAGTACCCAAGGAACTTGTTAAAACTCAAGATTTATGGGCCCTGCCCTAAGATTCTGATCCAGAGGTCCGATGGGGGTTTAAGATCTGCATTTTAATCAGAGTCTCAGGCAATCCATACACCTTGAAAAGAACTGAGCTGGAGACTGAACAAAAGCCAAATCATACGCCCAAACCGTAGTTGCTTACTCCTTTTTTCTTCCGGGGTCACGACTACTCATCCAGAACTCTCTCACCCAGAAAAAAACCGTGTTAAGGGGGAGTGGGGAGGGAGCTTTGTCCTCACCCTGAACACGAACTACCCCACCCTAGAGGAGAAAGCTGTAGACAGGATGGAGCGCCGTTTCGGGTTACCTGGTACTCATTTTTGAACATTCCCGCAGGGGGCCCGGGGCTTGGGGGACACGGAGTTCAGGGCGTCCAGCGAGTGGCGTGACCCTGACGACTGGAAATCGGCGGGCGGGAGCCCCAGAGCCCGACAGCAGGGAAGGGCTTCGCGCGTCGCCCCGACTCTTCTCAGCCCCTGGTCAGCTCCACGTCGAGCCCCCGCCCCGCACCATCGCGGCCCCCGCCTTCGGGGTGCCCGGGTGTGGGACGACGCAGCTATCTGGGCGGGCTCCGAGCGGCCCTGGCAGAGTGATTGTATGCGTAACCTACGTAACGGGGCGCCCAGCCACAGAGCCACGGACAACCGCTCGCTCGCCGGGGAAAGATGGGCGCGCTCCCGCTGTCGCCCCGCCCCCGAATTCGATCAGAAAAGGGCGGGGCCCAGCGGCGCCGCGTTCGGACCGCGCCCATTGGCTTCCACGAGGCGCCTGCGCGTTGAGCTCTGTGTGCTCTTCACCGACGGATAAATGAGACTACGCGGTGACGTAGGCGTTGCCCAGGCAACTCAGGGACTCTCCTGGATATGGTGGCCCGCCCAACCTGGGACCCGCGCTCTCAAAGGTCGTGACCTCTGTCTACGTCTACGAAAAAGCCTAAAATGAGCCTGGTTTAAAGAGCTACCGCAGGGCGCCTGGGTGGCTCAGTCGTTAAGCGTCTGCCTTCGGCTCAGGTCATGATTCCAGGGTCCTGGGATCGAGTCCCACATCCTCGGCGGGAAGCCTGCTTCTCCCTCTCCCACTCCCCCTGCTTGTGTTCCTGCTCTCACTGTCTCTGTCTCTGTCAAATAAATAAATAAAATCTTTAAAGAGCTACCGCAGGTGCTGGACTCTTCTAGAGAACCTGTCAAGTCGGTTTTGTCTCTCTTCTTTGTAAACACTGATAACTGCTGAAGGGAAGGGTCGTGGAAACATGGAACCCTCACATGGCCTTTGGTTCCATGGTTTCCAAACTCGTTTCGTTGAGGCAGGAATAGGGTCAGTTAGTCCCGTTCATTGTTTCAGAAGGCCCAAGGAAGTAGGAGTATTTACTCAAAATCACTGCATATGTTCAAAAGCCAAGATTTTTTGCTTAAAATAACTACATACATCATTGAGCCAGGCACTTTTCCTAAGTTTAACTATTCGGTTACTTCATTTAGTTTCTATGTCAGAACCACTCTTATAAGGTAGGTGTTATTATCACTTTTTGGCTCAGAAAGGTAAGATAGCTTGCCCAAGATCACATGGCCAATAAGTGATGGAGCTGATTTGGAGCTCTTGCCTAATGCTGTCCTCAAGGCTGAGTTAGGTCAGTGGTAAGCATTATGAATAACCAGGTACCACCACTTATGGAGCGCCTACTATACAGGCCAAGTGGTTCACAGGTTCACAGCCATGTGAGGTTAAGGATAAGTCTCCTTTCAGTTGAGAATGTTTCATTTCTAGAATTGATTAGGAATTTACTCCAGGAGGTGATGTTACTTTTTAGTTATGATTGAGCCTGATATTCAAATTCATCCAAAAGTCTTAAATATTTGTGTTCCCTACAATATGCGAACCACTGTGGATCATGTACAGCATGAGAAAATGAATGCTTTCTGGACCTGCTCCTTATCAGGGTTAAGAAAAGAAAAGCTGATAAGGAACAAACTTACTAGAACACACTAAGTCTAATACCAGATGTGTACAAAGGCAGAGGTGAGGTTGTCATATAACTGTAAATTGCAGTACAATAGACAGAATCCAGAATCCCTGATTTCTAGAGTTCAAACGTAGTTCAGCAACAGTTTTGGTAAGACTCTTTGCTGGAGGCTTCAGGAATTATGGCCAATAGACATGGTCTCTTGTCTTGCAAGACTTGTTATCTACTGGGGGACATTTATGCATTCATTCATTTAACAGATAATTCCTAGGGATGTAATATATTCTAGATACTATGCCAAGAGCTAGGTGTAGAAGGAAGGCCCCATCTTCATGGAGCTACACATTAATAGGGGTGGGACACAATAAACAAATGAATAAATAATTAGAACTTGTGATAAATCCCACAAATCTGGTGATAGGGAATAACATTGGAAGGGTCTATTAGTTTCCCGTGGCTGTTGTAACAAGTTACCAGAAACTAGGTGGCTTCACACCACAGAAATCTATTCTCTTACAGTTCTAGAGGCCAGAAGTCCAAAATCAAGGTGTCAGCAGGGTGACACTCCTTTGGGAAGCTTTGGAGGAAAATCTACTGTTTGTCTCTTCCAGCTTCTTGTGGCTTTTGGCATTCCTTGACTTGTGACTGCATCTCTCCAATGTCTGTCTCCATGGTCACCCTGCCTCTTCCTGTGTGTGTCTTCTCTCAGTGTCTCTGTAGGGACTATTGTGATGGCATTTAGGGCCCACTTGGATAATTCAGGGTTATCACTCTATTGCAAGATCCTTAACCTAGTAACACCTGCAAGACCCCTTTTCCAAATAAGGAAACATTCACATGTTCCAAAGGGTAGATGTAGGCATCTTGGAGGTGGGGGAGGTCACAGTTTTTGGCCTAACACAAAGGGTGGCTTGTACTATAATACAAAGCAGTTTTAGATAAATGCTGTAAGAGAAGCAAAAAGTCAGTGGGAGTACAGGAGGAATCTAGGGGACATCCTAAGGCTTTTAGCAATCTACTTGGGTGTATGAAAAGCAAGTTTTAACACCAAAGCTGAAGAGAAACTCACAACTTTGTCCTATGTTATTTTCTTTCTATCTTTATCATTATCTGAATTTGTTTGTTTATATGTTTATCATCTGTCTTTAGCTATCAGAAGGTAAATTTGATGAGGGCAAGGGTTTTTTCTGTGTTCATCATCCCCAATCTCACTAATACCACAATGCCTCTTGCATCCTCACTCCCTGTGGTATAGCAGCCTCCAAAATGACCTCCAGTGATTCCCCACCTTCTGGTATATTTGCCCTTTGCGTAATCTCCTCTGTAAGTGTCCTAGAGACTCACTTCTAATGAATACAATATGATGCTGAGATGTCATTTCTAACATTAGGTTACAAAAAGACTGATTTCCTTCTTGCTTGGCTTTTCATTCCCTTGCTGTGGTTCTTCTTCCCTAACTCTGTCCTTACATGAAGGAAGCAAGTTGCTCTATTGTGAGTACCCCCTGGAAAGGTCTATGTTGCAGGGAACTGATGTGTCTGGCCAATAGTCAATGAGAACTTGAGGCCTGTCAACAGTCACACGAGTAGGCTTTGAAGTGAATCTTTCCCTGGTCAAGCCTTGAGGTAAATGCATCCCTGGTCATTGCTTTGATTGCAGCCTTATGACTAAGCCAGAGTCAGAGGCACCCAGCTAAGTTGTATCCTGATTCTTGATCCACAGAAATTATGAGATATTTATTGTAAACTGCTAAGTTTTAGGGTGATTTTTTTATATAGCAATAGATACACTCCCCATACCCAATCCATCACCCGAACCTAATTGTTTTATCTAAATACTTCTAAAATCTACTTACCTTCCCTCTGTATGCTGTAGTCTGTATGCTGATTTACCTGTGATTTCCTCTTCTCTGAACTGCTATGATAGCCTCCTAATACGCCATGTTGACCTCCCTTCAAATCCATCTGCACTTTGCAGTCAGAGTCGTCTTTATAACAGACAAATTCAGTCATATCAGTCTCTTGCTTCTAACCCTTTTGTGACTATAGAACCTGTCTTCCTCTCTAAGTTCAGTATACGATATGCAGCCCCCTTTATTTCAGTCACATTGAGTTTTCTTTTAGTTCTTCATGTTCAACATATGTGCTTCCACTGTAGGGTCTTTGTGCTGTTCTCTTGAATAAACTACTTTTGCTACCTTTTTTCTTTTGGTTAATGCCAACTTCTGTAAACATAGAGTTTAGATCAAGGGTCCCCTTCTCAGGGACACCGTCTCCGATTTCCCTGACTTGATCAGATCCCCCTATTTATAGGTTCTTATAACATCTTAGCACTTAGCATTACTGAAATAATTGAAATTTTGTGTTTATAATACTGGCCATCTCTGTTGGACTGTCGATTTCAGGACAGTAGGGACCATGCCTGTTTTGTTCACCCTTGCGTCCCTAGTGCCTGGTATACTAGTTCAACCTTGTACCTAGTATAACAAATAGTAATCCCGCTTTGAATGAATGAGTGAATGAGGAAGGGAGGAGATGAAGGATGAATATATTCTTAAAAGGCAGCCATAGGCTTTGGTGTTGAGAAAACAAGAAGAAAGCAATTGAAAATACATTAAGGTAAATGGGTGAATTAATCATCTCAATTTATTGATGGAAAAACTAGTTATGGAGTTGAAATAATTAATCATAGTGTATCAGTAAGTCTCATTAATCAGGTGTTTTTGTTTTCTATCATCTGTTTATTCAATTTAAGGCTAGAAGGAACCAGTATAGTTTATTTCAATCTCCCTGTCTCCTTGAGAGAAAGTAATTGTCGATGCTCAGTTATCCAAGAATTGGGTTGTTGGGTCATTTCCTAATGTTCCTAACTCGACAAGTTTAGGAGACTTATAAATGGACTTTGATTAGCAAATGTGGGATAGGGCCTGTCCAGGCAATTGGAAGTTCCAAAGGCTGCCGGTCTCAGATCGAGGTTGTTTTGTCTATGGTGAAATCTACCCTTACCCCTGGCAGTGGTGGCTGTAAAGCAAAAATAGAATGTACCCTACTTTAACAATATGAACTCAAAACCAGAGATGGGAAGGGATCCAATTTTATAATATCAAATGCTGTTGTTTGATTTTGATGAATGCAAGCCATGACTAAAATCTTGGATTTGACTATGGCATCTGATTCTTGCTCAGGTCATGAGCTCAGGGTTGTGAGATTGAGCCCTGCATTGGGCCCTGTGCCCAGCGTGGAGTCTGCTTGAGGTTCTCTCTCTCCCTCTCCCTCTGCCCCTCCACCCGCTTGTGGTGCATGTGCCTGAGCACTCTCTCTCTCTCTCAAATGAATAAACCTTAAAAAAAAAAAAAAAAAGAAAGGCTACCAAAATTCAGCCCTGTCACCAAATAAATAAACGAATAAACAAAAAAAGCTCCAAACAACTTTGCTTAAGCCAAGTTATTTATGTATGTTATAAAAGACAGTGAAACATTTTCTCTAATTGCTAC